ATAAAAAATATATATAAATATATATATTCACATCAATATAAATTCCAAATTTCAGTGTATGAACTAAAACTCTGAGTTAGATGATCAAATCTCAGCTCACATGGTTGAACCCCAGTCGGCCTCAGCAGATGTCCGCTCACACTGAGCCTGAATCTGCTGGAGGTTGCTTCCTGTTAAAAGGGAGTTTTTCCTCTCCACTGTCGCCACAAGCATACTTAGTGCGAGGGATTGCATTTGAGTCAATGAGTGGATGCAATCAACTGGTTTTCCTGAGATAGAACACTTTTAATCAATTTGACTGTATGATCTGGTGAACTGTAAATTGCCTGGATGACAGTGAATTGAAACTATATAAATAAACTGGATTGAATTCTCTTTCAGTGACAGGCACCTGCATATTCAGCTTTATTCTCATGTTGAAGGCTATTTCCCCACTGACTGAGGAAAGAAAACAGATCAGAGCTTTGGTGTCACAATAAAGGAGGCTGCAGATAATTGTTTCATTAATCACAGGTTTGTTTGTTGTTGTTATTTTTTTTAACTTCTTATTCTTCTGGCTACCCCGTCCTCTCATCAGTGACAGGGCCCATGGCTTATAGAGGCCCCGCCCCTCTCTGACCTCACCAATCATCTCTCTCCTTCCTCCTGCTCACTCCGGCTCCCTGCGCTCTCCTCTCCGCACTCTGCCTGTGATCCTCCTCAAACCTGGGACCAAAACCTGCTAAGGACATTCCTGAGGACCACTAATCTGCTCTGCCCATGAGCCATCTTTGGAATTCACCTGGACACTCACACCTTTCACCTATTTAACTTCATTTTCCTTTCTTTTTTTACCGGACTTGAACGACTTTTTTTGTACATTCCAAAGATACCGGTCCGGACCGACATCTAGTATTTTATAAAGACGCCATTTACGTTATTCCGTTTATAATCATTACAGTTGGGTTGACCAAGTAAGTAGGAAGCTGTAGCACGCGCCTTTTTTCCACCTTCTAGTCTTAAGTATCCAAACAGAGAACAATGGCAGGTATGAACTCTCTGGAAGCTGTGAAGAGAAAGATTCAGAGTTTGCAGCAGCAGGCCGATGACGCAGAGGACCGGGCTCAGGTCCTACAGAGAGAACTGGACGGCGAACGGGAGCTCCGAGAAAAAGTGAGACTCCTCTCCTCCTTCTGCTCTACTTTTCTCCCACTTTTGAACCGCGCCGCTCCTCTCCCAACTTTCTCTCTTTACTTATAAAGTGTCATGTTGGTGAACTGGTTTCGGAGTGTTCTTAATCACCTCCGCGGCTGTAAAACGTCTCATTAGATCATGCCATTGATTCATTCGCGGGCGTGATTGTATGCCACAATACAAGGCGTTGGTCTAATAAAAAAAAAAAAAAAGTTTGGATTCTTGTGTGCGCATGCGCAGTAGGGTCTGAGCCGCAGGCCGCGTCTGAGCTGTCCTGAATGAACCACGTAGACATTAATATTCCATGTTTAATTCTAATTTCCTCTTAGGAAATAATACATATTTACCATCTAGTCTAAGATTTGGACACATTTAAATGTTAGTTTATTTCTATTTTTCCTAACCTTGTAATCACAACTGTTGAATTTATCACATGATTTATTATACCAATTATTTTTTTTTTGTTATTTTTGAGACGTGGTATATGTACGGAAGAGGATTAGGACCACTGGGGAAAAAAATATGGTAACTGATTTTTTTTTTAAATATTTTATTTCAGTTTAATATGGGGAAAAGTCTGAATTCTGAGACAATTCTGACATTTTCTCATATTATACTGAAATAAAATCTAAAAATGAGTTAAATTTATTATTTTTTTCCAGTGGCCCTAATCCTCTTCCATATATATGCTATATTATTTTCTAAAGTGAAAATACAACAGATGTTTAAAACTGAATTAAAGTTTATAGCCAAAAACTTCATATAAAAATTCCTCTAAAACAGCTTAATTCTTGTTCTGTCCTCCTTATTTTAAATTTAAAACGGACTGAGGTCCATTTTAAATTTATAATAAAAGTATGCTATTTTTTTCTTCAAGTAAACATCATTTTAATAGATGTATAATTTTGTCATTTAGTTAATTTTAGAGTAACACAAGCAGATATCGGCTGTTTTAATAGTCAGGCTTTATGCATGGAAAATTTGTATAAGGGTGGGCAGGCAAAAATTAACAAGCAATACATCCCTATTTTTTTAATAAAGACAAACTATACTTTCATACAGCCTTTGCTAACAAATAGATATTTAAACATCCATGCTTATAGTGGATAAAATTCTACAGTTTTGACTTCTGGGGCGTAAATCTGCCGTCGTCATTACTTACCTACTTGTATCAATAAACATTCTGCATAAAAATGATATTTGCAAGTACTAATATCTACATAAATTGATTATTTGATAAGTTTTTATTAAAATTGTTATTTAGCTGTGATTTCACTAAAGACTCCTAGATGGCTTGCAGAGACACATCATTTTCTCTTTACCCCATATAACAAAATCTAGTTCTGAAAAGAACATTCTGTACTTATCATCTTTAATGTTATTATATTGATTTGTATAATTAACCACAAAAATGTAAATGTTTTGAATGTTCCACTTGAGAATATTACTGCTGCCACCTTCTATATTAGAAGGAAAAAATGGTAGGGGTGGCCAATGATTAGATAAGAGTGGCCATGGCCACCCCTGGCCCCCCATTTAGCTCTGCCCCTTCTTGGTGATCAGATGTTTTTTCTGACATGTAGGTGAAGGACACCCATAGGAGCCTTATTTCAGCTGACCTGTGCAGTGAAACATCATTCTATAAAAAGAGTGATGGAAGGACTTATTTAAATTTTCGCATTATGAATTATGTCTTTTATTTTTTGCGACCAGAAGTGTTTTTAGACTGTTAATTTGCCTGGCTTCCTATTAAAATGATTAATTGCCATCTGAAAGGTGCGATGGAAAACATTAGCAGTTAGGATTCAGTAGCTGTTGAAAACCTTGGTCTATTTTAATAGCAGTAACTGGATAGGAGAGTTATTTAATTATTTTTTTGCCTGCTTAGATGTTAAAAGGCCATCATCGGTAAAGAACCCACCTTCATATGACCCAGGAATGAATTATCAATGGAAAAAGAAGTGGTAGAAAGAGCTTTATCTTGCATGTATTTACATTTCAACTCGCTGCAGTTACATAACTTGGTCTGAAATTGGCAAACGTCATGACCGAAGCTCCGCAAACCGTCTTGTTCAGACTTGTAGGAAATATTCACACTCGTTCTGCCTCTTTGACTCAGGCCTCAACTGGTGGCTTGAAGCAGGAAAAAGTAAAAGTAGTACAAGGAAGAACAAAAATACTTAACGGCACAGTTGGGTAAGGCTTTATAGCGGCATACCCTCTTCTTCCCAATATAATTACAGGACCAGCGGGAAGATTCAGGCTGAGTGGGCGGTGGGGAAGGTGTGGCTCTGCAGATATGGCTTCTGAACTGATCAAAGGAGCAGCCCTGCCAAAGGACTTGCCTCCTTTTGTTAGGCTGCCTATTAGGTAACAGGGCACCCTTTTCCATCTGACAATTGGGTGTTTGCCTGGCTTGTGGTATAGTTATTGACATCACATAGCATTACATCATGTCTGACCTTAACACTTCTGAAAATGTTGCTAAATTGATTGAATGTTGTCATTGCTTCATGGTTGTCTTGTTGGTTTGCTTCATGGTGTTTAAGAATTGATTCCCAAACAGCATTAACAGCTTGGGAAAAACACTGACAAGGGAGTTGATTTATTTGGAAAGTAACTGTCTACATAAATGCAATAGTAAAGGATTATAAGTCTTAGATTCATCGCTCTTAGCGTTTTATAATCTCAGGAGGTTGTCATCCTACTAAGCTTGCTGCTTTTTGTAAAGAATAGCCTCAGACATTGTACAATTTCTCTCTTTTTGCGTTCAGCCAGCCACTCTGGTGCACGCCTGTGTTGCAAGGTCGGTGTGGTCCCATATGCAAGTAATTAGGACAACCTGGAGCCATTCCTTTTCGCACAAAAACACCCTTTCATCCTAGTACAGGGAGATTAACAACAGGAACCTCACTGGGTACAATGAATATGAGGATGCTGAGGTATCATGGCCAGTGCTTGCCACATCTGTCACCAAATTATTAAAAAAAAAAGTAATTGCTTGGAGTTTAATCTTTTGTGGGTTCTCAGAGATACTTTAAAGGTACTTTAAGAGTGGTGATCCGGTCTTTATTTGTCCATTACACTTGTTTATTTCCAGCCATAATTCTCAATGAGCTGTTCCCTTTTCTCTGCGGTTACTCCAGGGGAGGCCCTAGACAATCATTTGGGCTGTGAGCTGTTTAAGGAGCCTGGTTGGACAAGATTAGCTGCTTTTACCAGCATGAAACATTAGCATGATGCTTTAAAGTAGTCAAATAATTAAATGGGGAGCGGTGGTAAACATGCAATTCCTCTTTTGATGTTAAAAAGATCTTCTGCTTGTTCAGCATTTTTATGCTGGGAAGTTGTGACATTCGTGTCACCATGGTGACAGTTTGTTTTTAGATCCTAAGATCTATTTCTGTGATCATTTTTTCCCCTTATTTTATTTTTTTTTTTCAAAATGGGGAAGTGGGACTCAAACCCACGCTTATGTATTCCCCACCCTGAGAGCCCTTCCCAGGATGTCCTCTGGCGACTCTTCTTGAGGACTTCCTGTATTTTCTACTCCTAACACTTCCTGCCTCTGAGATCCAGCCCTGATCAACAGGAAGATTAGTGTTTGAGGTGGAGCTGGATCCCAGATAGTTGTGTACAACTTTGGTGTGGCTCTACGACTTCAGCATTTACTCTTATCTCGTTCAAGTGTTTAATCTATAATAACAAGAAAGCCTTTGATTTATGAAATAAATCAATGCCTGACTGATTGTTTAAAACGAAACTCAGCAGGTGCTTTGAAGTAGGGTTAGAACTCAGTCCTTCTATTAGAAGCTGGTAAAGGATCCTAAATAATTTCTGTTTGTAAGAAATGAGTCATTTCTGTCAGAATTTCATTATGGATCAAAGTTTTAATCAAAGCTAAAATGTCACCCATTCACATGGGCCATCATAGGATTCTCATAGCAAAACAGACATTTGTGTGATCAAGTTGCTAATATCTAAAAGAAAGAATGTGCTGCTTAAAGTGAATAGCTTTAAGCTTTTCTTTTTATACCATTATACCCTATGCTATTATCTATAGTTGGGAGACTAGGAATATAACAAATTGATGTTGGTTAGTACCTTAGTCAGGTTATCTGCTGTGCTATAGCCTACAGTGAGTTGTTTGACAGTCAAATTTAACCCAGAATTACCTTAATACAGCCCCTTAAGTTTCCACACTGCCTGTATAATGCTTTGATATAATGCTTTGATCCTAAATTATCTTAAACAGTCTGGGTTTTGTTACAAGCATGGGAAAAAAAAAGTATAACGTTCTTCTTTTAGCCACCTAACTATCAGTTCATAGCAGCAGCCTAGGTGAATGGATGGAAGTTGTTAAATCATGGCCACAAAATGCTGTTAAACTTCCAACAATTATACAAAATTTGAGTTCTGTAAAATGTGATGCTGAGTCACAGGAAAACTTCCAGCGATGTTGCAAATAAGTTTCAGAGGGCAGTAGGCCTGAAACAATCAGATTAATCGATTATTGAAACAATCGTCAAATAATTTAGTAATGATTCATCGTTAGAGTGGAGATTTAAAAAATGTCCCTTTAAGGCCAATTTATACTTCCGACACATAGCCTCCCCCTTGATTCTGACACCAGATAAAAAGGACATGACCCACAGCGCTGAAGATCACAAAGTCATTAAATCGCTGAAACCAAAAAAGAATAAAGACATACACTCACTGGCCACTTTATTAGGTACCCCATGCTAGTAACGGGTTGGACCCCCTTTTGCCTTCAGAACTGCCTCGATTCTTTTTGGCATAGATTCAACAAGGTGCTGGAAGCATTCCTCCGGGAGTTTGGTCCATATTGACATGATGGCATCTCACAG